GTCTTGGCGAAATTATGTTTCTAAAATAAATTCACGTACACCTATGTCAAAGGTGTGGAATATGATCCAAAGAATAAAGGGCAAAGGTTCCAAACTGTTCATCATTTGAAGGACGGTGATAATCTTAAAACTGACATTGCAAATAAACTTGGTGAAACCCTTGCCATGCATTCATCTTCATCTAATTATGTCCCTGAGTTTCAAAAGTATCAGAAACAACAGGAGAAGAAAATAATAAATTTTAACTCAGACAATGGTGAAGATTATACGAACTATTTTCGTTACATGAGCTCCATACCGCCCTTGAGCAAGCTCATGATACAGCAACAGGAGCTGATAATATACACTATCAGCTCTTGAAGCATTTGCAGGAATCATCTTTAGAAATCCTTTTAGAAATCTTTGATCAAATATGGACTTCAGGGAATTTCCCAACTTCGTGGCGTAATGCCATTGTAGTCCCTATTCCAAAACCTGGCCGGGATCATACTGATCCGTCTATTTACAGACCAATCTCTTTAACGAGGTGTGTCTGTAAAACCATGGAACGAATGGTAAACAATAGATTAGCATGGTATCTTGAAACCAATAACCTCATAACCAATATTCAATGTGGTTTCAGGAAAAATCGTAGTACCATTGATCATTTGCTACGACTAGAATCCTTTGTTAAAAATGCAATAGTAAATAAACAACATGCCGTATCGATATTCTTTGATCTCGAGAAAGCGTACGATACAACCTGGAAGCTGGCATTTTAAAGGATTTACATGATTTTGGTTTGAGGGGTCGTTTACCTCTTTTTATTTCACCGTTTTTATCAGACAGACAATTTCAAGTTCGAGTGGGTTCAACCCTGTCTGACCATTATAATCAGGATCAGGGTGTCCCACAAGGCAGTAATTTGTCTGTCACATTGTTTTTTAGCATTAAGGTCAATTGTTTATCCAAGGTTTTAAACGATTCAATCGATGGATCACTCTTTGTGGATGATTTTAATGTTTCTTGTCGTGGTTAAAATATGCATACTATTGAACGGCAATTGCAGTTATGTTTAAATAAAATAAATAAATGGTGTCTTGAAAACGGCTTTAAATTTTCTAAATCAAAAACTAATTGTCTACACTTTTGTAGAAAATATAAGCCGCATAAGGACCTAGAACTATCTTTAAATGGCACTCCCATCAAAGTTGTAAAGGAGGCCAAATTCTTGGGTCTAATTTTTGATTCTCATTTATCCTTCTTGCCACACATTAAAGCTTAAAGCTAAATGCCTGAAGGCACTCGATTTGTTAAAGGTTGTTTCCAATTCTAAGTGGGGAGGGGATCAAACTACCCTCCTTCACTTATACAGATCATTGGTTCGATCTAAACTTGATTATGGCTCCATCGTATATGGTGGAGCCTGCAAAGGCAACTTAAAACTACTTGATTCTGTCCACCACCAAGGTCTGAGACTTTGTCTTGGGTCATTCAGAACATCTCCTGTTGACAGTCTCTATGTTGAGGCAGATGAGCCTTCTCTTACCCAACGCCGTATTAAATTATCTTTACAATATATTACAAAACTATATTCTAACGAGTTTAACCCTGCTTTTAATTGTGTCTTTAATCCTTTCTATGAGGATTTTCACAACAAAAAGTCTTCTCTTGTTCCTCCTCATGGGCTAAGAATTCAACCATTCATTTCTGCTGCCGGCATTGAGCTGGATAATAAAGCTCCTTCTCGTCTTCTTTCTTCTCCTCCTTGGCAATTAGTGAGCCCAGCAGTTGACATCACCTTGACAAAGTTTAAGAAAGCAGAAACTAATGAATTACAATATAAACAAGAATATCATCAATTAAAAATAAATATAATGCATACAAATCCTTATTTACAGATGGATCCAAGAATGGTGGCGCGATTGGATCCCGAACAATATCTTCTCGACTACCGAATAACAGCTCTATTTTCACAGCAGAAGCTAACGCCATATTAACAGCTCTTAAATATATTAATAAACACCGTAAATACAAACAACACATAATCTTTTCCGATTCTCTTTCGTGTCTTCAGGCTATTACAAATCTTTCTTGTAAACATCCACTTTTATTAGAAATTATTGAATTGTATAATGAGCTTGCTACTGGCCAATGCGACATCGTCTGGGAACACAATGTCTGATCTTGCTGCAAAGGCAGCACTCAATAAATATATGACACCACTTCTTATTCCATACTCTGATTACAGAACTAGCATTAGAACCTACATCCGTGATCTGATGCAAAAGAAGTGGGACACTCAAGTAGGTATCAATAAATTACATGAAATAAAACCCTATATTGGTTACACCTACTTGGGTTGTCAGTCCAGATTTGAAGAGGTCATCATACGACGATGTCGTATTGGCCACACAAGATATACTCATGCATATCTATTGAAAGGTGAGGATCCTCCGTTTTGCAACCCTTGTGATGAACGAATCACAGTCAAGCATGTCCTGCTTGACTGTATTGATTTTTCCATTACAAGGGATAAGTATTTCAATGTCAACACAGTTAAGGATCTTTTTAATGTTAATTATCATTTTATCATTGATTTTTTAAAGGAAATAGAATTACTAGATAAATTTTGATAAATGATCTGTAAAAAGATAAATATTTTATTATTGGTAGTTTAGATTAATAACTGCGATTATTGGTGGGTGTACCCTCAAAGGGGGTTGAAGTAATGTAATTTTTAGAGTAAAATTGATATTTTATACTTATCCTGACTCATGCTCTTTTGCTTGTCTTCTTCTTCTTGCGAACATAGTGGAACACTTGTATCTCCTTAATTGAAGCTCCCTTCAATGTAAAATCACTAATTGGTACTCACCAAGAGTTGCCTCCCTTGCCCTTTTGGCGGGAACAGGTGTCGCCACCCTCTGGCCTCATGCTTCACTCTCTCCTGATTTTGCGAGCCCAACACTTGAATTTACAGGGAAATCCAAAGCGTTATGTGGGGAGGATGGGAGGGCTAACCTCATGAGTCAGGATAAGTATAAAATATCAATTTTACTCTAAAAATTACATATTTTTCCTTATCCTGACTCATGCTCTTTTGCTTGTAGAATCCTATGGAAGCGGAGGTGGGCAAAACAGAATACTTTGGATTTATAGAATTAGTGATTTATATAGATATAACTGTAATAACCCCTTACGGGAACTTCATAAAGGCATAGACTTAGGATATTTCCTCTATTATAAGCCATACGTTATATTTGCCATACTGGGGTATTTACAATAATAATATACTGTGATATTATGAAATAACAATATCAAAGCGACTCTGATAGAGAAGCTATACAACTGAACATAATCATCAGTAAAAGCTTAAGGGTGAGTAGAGCTAAGCTAAGTATATACATAGTGCTAGAACTCCGTAGAGTTATAAGCTAGATAATGCATGTATTAATTATGCATATTAATCTCGTAAGACTACGTGTTAACGTTTACGAGGGACTGTCAACTGCTGTGCGAGGACCAAGGGACCGAAATGGTGAATACCTGAGACGTCCTCGGTGATGATATCTCTCAGATAGTGATTAGCAAACACCCTGTTAGATTTCCAAAAGCATCCTTCCATAATTGTATTCAATGAACAGTTACCGTGTAGGGCGAGAGTGGAAGCCAATGCCCTGATCTCATGGGGATTTGATGCTGTTGGAGGGTCCAGTCCTGCTGCCTTGTAGGCGCGAAGTATGACAGTTCTTATCCATATAGATATGGTGGTACGAGAGACTTCTGTCTGAGTTGTTGCCGACAAGGGAATGAATAATCGTTTGAGAAATCTTCGCCTTGTTTTGGAACGTCGTAAATAGATTTTGAGAGCTCTGACTGGGCATAGAGATAAGTCCAGTGTATCTTGAGATCCGAGAATCGAGGATAGTGCAGGGATATGGAATAACCTGTCTGGTTGACCTGGTAGTTGATTTTTGGCGATGAAATCCCATCTTAGTCCCAGGTGTGCTGTGTTTTGATTGTCATCAAACTGTATCCTCTCATAATCTAGTGCGTGAATTTCCGACATCCTGGCTGCTGTGGCTAGAGATAACAGGAAAAGCGTTTTCTGTGAGAGAAATTCAAAGTTTGTCGATTCCAACGGTTCATAAGCCTCACTTGTGAGGTGTTGTAACACTATATTCAGATCCCAAGCTGGGGCGTGGAACTTCCGCTTTTGGTCCTCCAATCGGAAAGCACGTAGTAAGGCCAGTAACTCTGGTGTTTTAGTCAATTTTACACCCGTTCTCATAGTAATCACAGAACTAAGCGCGGCAAGATATGTTGACAATGTCGAGCCTTTTAAATGTTTGTTTTGCCGTAAATAACACAAATAATCTGCCACTTGTGGATGAGTAGCATCTCTCGCTGTAAATCCCTTATTTGCTGCGTAATTTTCAAAACTGTGCCACTTGTCGTCGTACAAGTTACGTGTAGAATTGCGTAAGGCAAGCGTGACCGCTTTTGCCGCCCTGGTAGAATATCCTCTCTTGTTTAAACACATTTTAATACAGTCCATACGTGAAGTTGGAATACTTCTGGGCTTCTGTGCACCTGTCTGGTGTGTGGATGTATTAATAGATTTGAGCGCTTGGGTAGCTCTAGTGTTGGTTGACCGATTTCTTGAATTAGAATGGGAAACCACGTTCTGGCCGGCCAGTAGGGCGCGACCAAAGTGAGTTGGAGGCTCTGTGTTTGTCTGATTTTCTGTAACACTTGAGGTATTATTGCTGGCGGCGGAAACGCGTACGCATTGAGGCCTTCCCAAGATATGCTTAGAGCGTCCGTTGCCCATGCTTGTGGGTCTGGGACTGGTGACACGAATGTCGGTAGCTGATTGTTGAAGCGTGTGGCGAATAGATCTACTAGCGGCGCTCCTATTTGCTTGATTATCTGTGCAAATATTTCTGTATTGAGCATCCATTCTGTCGGTGACGGTTGATGTGGCCGAGAGAGTGCGTCTGCTAGTACATTCTTGGCTCCGGGAATGTGACATGCTCTGACATGTAGGTTTAGATCGTGGATTAGATCGAACAGTTGAAAGCTTAAAGTCAATAGGTTCAGTGATCTCGTTGAGCCTTGTTTGTTCACATAGAACGCCACTGTCGAGTTGTCGGTATGAATCATTAAGTGCGCATTCTGTAGAATGGTGCTCCAATGAAGTATGGCGTTGATTACAGCTTTCATCTCTAACATGTTTATATGGAGCTTGCTTTCTTGCTGATTCCATAACCCTGATGCCGTCCGGTTGGCAAGATGAGCTCCCCAACCTTGGAGCGACGCGTCTACATATAGATAGGTTTTGAATTCCTGCTCTTCTAAACAAATACCTTCGCAGACATTCGACCTCCTGGTCCACCATAGTAGATGGGGTCTGAGATGTTTCGGTAGACTGAATGGTTGTAGGTCGTCGAGATGTGCATTGATGAAGACCTGTAATGGGCGTAACTGTAATCTGCCTCTGACTGTCATGTCTTGGGCTGATGTGAGGAGACCCAACAAGCTCTGCCATTGTCGTAGTGGTAACGGAGAGAGTAGAGCTGGCGGAATGGTCTGTTGGATCTTGAGCCAACGGTCTTCTGGTACGACGATACGGTTGAGATTCGTGATAAATCGAATGCCTAGAAACTGCAGATCTTGCGATGGTACTAGGTCCGACTTGAGTAAGTTTACTAACCATCCTAGCTGTGTTAGTAGCTTTATGATGTAGTTTAACTGTAGTTTGAGACGCTGTGGATCTTGATCTACTTGTATCCCGTCGTCGAGGTAGAACGCACTGCGTAGCCCTAGACGATGTAGATAGGTGACAATAGGTTTCGTTATCCTCGTGAATAGCCAGGGGGCTGATGATATTCCGAATGGGAGTACTTTCCATTGGTAATGTAGCCCGTCTAGTGTAAATCTTAGATATTTCCTGGATTCGGGATGTATCGGGATGTGTAGATATGCGTCTTGCAGATCTATACTGGCCATGTAATCCATGGGGCGAATCAACTGCCCTAACTGAGGTAGGTGTATCATGCGAAACTTTGGTGGTTTGCATAGATAATTCCTGTTGAAAAAGCTCATTTTGTAAATGAGTCTGTATTTCTCCTTGGAGTTTTTCTTGGGTACTAGGAAAACTGGGGAGTAGAAGCCTGGTTCGATGTTTACTTGATCTAGTACTTCTATGGCCTGCTTGGTTATGAGTGATGTAACAGCCTCTCTTAACTTTGGTAGTTGTTGTGCCTGTAAGTCGAACTTGTGAGGGTTGACTGTCAGCGGAGGCGTGGCCTGTAGTGGGATACGAAATCCGTGTTGAAGAATGTTGGAGACATAAGGGTCTTGTAACATTCCCCAGTTCTCCCAGTGTAGTTGGGGGCGTCCACCCACTTGTGACGGTTGTACTGGAACGGCTGGGGATGGAAGACTCCAGTTGTTCCGAACCTGTCTTTCAGCGTTTATAGTTGCGGGAACCTCTGGGTGTCCTGCCTCTTCCTGACCCTCCTCTATAGTTGCCATATGGGCGTCCTCTATAGACGAAAATAATCTTTTCCCCTGGCGCTGGCTATCTTCCTATCCCGTGCTTTCTGTAGTCCCGAGAACTTAGATCTCCCTGAGTATCTTTGTGAAGTCTGCCTGATGACGCTGGCTAGCGTGTCCATCGACTTGATCATAAGGACTTCTCTGGAGTCCTTAGTGACTTCCTTGGAGACTTTGTCTATTCCTCCGTCAAAGATGGATGGGGAAGACCACGGGGCTGTATAGAGTGGAGCTGTAAAGTTCTCACCCCAGCTGCAGGAAGCGAGGAGGCCTTGACGACGAGCTAAGGTCAGCGCTGCTGAGACAGATGTGAGATGATCTGTAAGGAACTGCTGGTCCTTCTTTTGCATCAGTAGGGCCGAGTAGATCATCCTATCATCTTCAGAGGTCGTATTACGAAATCTGGTGATAAGTGTCTCATTGATCGTTCTAGATCTATTTAGGCCAAAAAACATGCGTCTCGTCATGGTTTCTATCTGCACCAGCTTGCGATCGTCAATCTTGTAGTTCTTGTTCTTAACATCGCTGATCAGCTTGTAGTTGTCATCGATGTCTTGTGCCTTCAGGAAGGGGTCTATGTTGTGCGTGGAGAACTTCTTAGTGTGAAAGTTCGGCAGATGTGGTGTCTGCACTTTCGTGGCTTTATGGAAGGCTGTATCTAGATTCTGTGGCACCGCAGCAATCGGGTCGATCGGAGGTAGGGGGACGACCTCTGCATCGTCTTCCTTCATCAGGTATGTCTGCGCTGAGTTGCCACTCTTGGACAGTGAAGATAAATCTAGGTTGTTTACCATCCAATATCTTATCTCAGCGTCTGAGAAGATGATGCCTCCATCATCTTCTGTACCAGCATCGGTGATAAGAGGTTCATGCTCTTCTGATGGTGAACTGTAGGCTGCTATCTCTATGTCGGGTAACGCTTGGGGAGACCTGACTGTAGACTTGTGTGCCGACTTGTGTGGTGACCTGCGAGGTGATGTACATGGAGATCGGCGTGGTGATAGGCGTGGAGATCGTCTAGGTGATCTGCGTCTATGGGATGACCTTCTCGGAGATCTGCGAGGAGAATGTTGATAGCTTCGCGAAGCTCTTGAGTAGTCCCTCGACGTCCTTCTGGACGATGACGATCTGTGTGACGGCCTTCGTGCAGCTTCCTCTGCGTCCGGACCTGGGGAGCAGCGCCTTGACCTCCGTGACGGCTTCCGTGATGTCTGGTGGTCTGAGTCCGCATCTGAGGATGAGGCTGAGGACGGTGACGATCTCTCCCGTCTTCGCGAAGGCCTTAGCGAAGACTGTACATCTGGGTCCTTCGTCGAGGTGGTCTGTGACTTCCTTCTCGAAGGCTGCTTCGTCGTGGCTGCTACGCTGACTGGGGGTGCCTCTGGGGTGTCGTCTGCGTTGCTCAGGCCCTGGGCTGGCTGCTTCTCCCGTCTGTAGTGGCCCTCCATCATGGTCATGATCTGCCGCAACAGCTCGTCTGGGATGGTCTGCGACGAAGTGGTCGGTGCCCTCTCTGCGATGACAGCTGCTGAGCCCTCAGGGAAGTCGTCTGACATCAGTGTAGAGACATAAGGCTGCATGGCGATCTCTGCTGATGTCACTGTAGCTGTCACCGGTCGCTTCTTGTGGCGTACGTCAGGGATGATGATCAGCTGATCATCGTAGAGGCCCAGTTCGGCGGCTGGAACGATCTCGGCTGAGAAAGTTCTTGACGACTTCGTAGACTTCCCCTTGGAGGTCGACGCTGCCCTGGCGGTCCGAAGTCTGCGTTGAGAAGACGTCGAGGCCCTCTTGGACTTTAGCTGCGATGACGGGACCTCTGGGGAGGCAGGACGCTTCTTAGAGGTGGCGGACTGCATCCCACGCCCATCTTCCGACGGAGTCTCTAGCGGAACACCAGACGGGAGGGGGTCGATCGACAGCAGCTGACTGGATGGGGAATCCGATGTATCGGCCATGTCTAACCCTTGTTTGCGTGACCTATCTGCAGTACGTCTCACGACGCAAAGATATTTATGAAAAGCAGAATTAGATAGATTAATGCAGTAACTGCAACGTGAATCAAACGCACAAGGCGTAGCACAACTAGGGCATAATACATGCGGGTCAGCAACAGAAAAACGTAAACTGCAAATAGTACAGATTTTCATCAACGTAATACTAGCTGAACAATCACGAACTCACGTGAATAAACAGTAGAAATACGATTAATAATCAATGCAAATTAATGAAGGATACTAGCTATACCTCTATAGTAACCTATAAGAGGTAATAAACTAAGAAAAACCAAAGGATATAGTGTGTAAGGAGACACAGGCGCTCTCACATCCTGCTCACTGGGCGAAGAAGGAGAGAGTGAAGCATGAGGCCAGAGGGTGGCGACCCCTGTTCCCGCCAAAAGGGCAAGGGAGGCAACTCTTGGTGAGTACCAATTAGTGATTTTACATTGAAGGGAGCTTCAATTAAGGAGATACAAGTGTTCCACTATGTTCGCAAGAAGAAGAAGACAAGCAAAAGAGCATGAGTCAGGATGAGGAAAAATTTGTAAAATTATTGTCCTCCTCCCAAAGCATTCAATGTAAATTTACATCTACTATTATTTTTAATCGTAGAATATATGTTCTTTTAATTTGTGCCTTGAATATCCAAAATTGCTAATAGCTGAAGGGATGGTGTAAATCCAGCTAGGGTCCATGCAGGAAGCAAATTTACTGTAAGTCCCCATGGTCCCTAGTATGGTGATCTACCTTCAGTTGTTGGTAATATGTAGCCCGTGTTTATATTGTATTGTCATCTCTAGTTAAACTGTTTTAGATTTAATTACTAGTGTTAATTTCGTCTCTGTGATAATCTAGTTATTTTACTGTCCTTCGTAGACAGCTTTGTATAATTTACTATTACTTACTAAGTATACCAATTAATTGTTCTCATCACAATATGGCTGAAATATTGCCGATGTGACGATACATTTTAACTCAGACACTCACTCACTCACTAATGTTTTTCATCAAATCACCATTTCCGTGCGGTGTGGGTTTCCGTCTTGTGCCTATTGTTCAGACTGTTATCTGTTATTGTTACTGGCATAAAATCAGCTTCTTACCCAAAATGTGCTTCCTGCCGGACACAATCCCTTCATGTTATTGACGCAGAATCTTCGCTGACGCAGAGTTGCGGTCTTTTAGGTTGACTATCTTAGTTGCTAATAGATTTATAATGACCTCGAAACAAAAGCGAATTACTTGTAAACTGCAAGTCCAATGAGATTCCCAGGGGTAATAACGAAAACAGTGCAAGATTAACTTTGGATTTAACACAAGAACTATGACGATTTCTCATTGCAAGTTAAGCTGTTACACAGTGCGTTGTATCAGTACATGGCCTACTTGACAAGACCTATATATCTATTGGTTATAGGAATGACTATCCTAGTTACTAATAGATTTATATTGAATACAAAACAAAAGTGAATTACCTGTAATGAGATGAAATTTCCAAGGCTATGAAAACCAGCGACATTAATTAAGCTCTTAGGTACTAACAGATTCATATTGACCTCAAGAACAAAAGCGAATCACCTGTAAAGTTAAGCTGTTACATGGTGTGCTATCGGTACATGACTTGTTTGACCTATACATGTATTGGTTATAGGAAAGACAATGGAGCTGACATAATCTGAGGGAAATTGATTTAGAAACTACCTTCTAAAAAACGACATACTATTTACATTCAATTGCAGACGGGAGCGCATGAACAGCTTCGTGGGGATGTTTGACACCGGTAAATATCAACTTCTTCTGCGATTGGCGCAATCAATTTTATATACGACCATACACTTACATCGAGATCGGGCAAGGCTTAGCTGGGTAATGAGTGAAACTGACAGAGAATTAAGCGATGATACATAGTCAACCTAAAGGGCAAAGCACAACATGGGGTTGTGAGGAACTGTGAAAACAATGACTTTCTAGTCAAATACGAATTGACCTCTTCTACAAGATAATCGGAAATTGATTGCTTCAATACATATTAAGTGTAACAGATCGCGATCCTTGCCCGTAATCACTATAATAGCAGACTCTGGGCTATCCTGGCTGCGAAGATATTGACACGGGTCTATTTAGTGTGACGTTCGTTCCTATCCATCAAATGTGATATAAAACACTGTCGTTGTAGCAGATACTCTGGTCGATGAAATCAAGTCTTTATAGACGGATGCTAAATTAGAGCTATTAAGAGATTTGAAGAAATCATATAGAGTTTGTGCATTCAATTAATGTTTAATTCTCTTACAGAGAATTTATTTTTCATTCGTTCAAAGCCATTCTTAATCACTCGTGCTGCAGCAGCAGTTGCTGAAAATGTGGATGTGACGTCATCTCGGTGGATGCCCATTTGATTTGTGATTTCGTTATCTCTTGTAGTGGTACTACACAAACGGGATGTCGACTTGGGCATTATATTGCTGCATTGGTAACTTATGGTAAAGAGAATGGATTGTTTATTAAATTAGATTACCCGGCGGACTAATTCCGTTATTCTTGTAGCCTCATTCGTTTGTTTGTACCAACACTTGTTTAGAAAATATACGTTTCGCTGAACACATATTTTACAACATGTGCGTTTGTGTCACATCGCATTGACTCCTGTTTCAGTAAATTAGGTGTATTCAATTACCTCACCCAGACCATTCTATTTGAATCTCTCTGGCATTGAAAAAGTGGCAGTATTTACATAATAAGCTGACAATGCACAGTTGTGTCAAACATTTTGTATATTATTTCGAGAGCTTGTATATTTTGATTTCAACATTACACTGTTAACCATTTGCTCCTTGTGTATCAGTGTTACCAATGCTCGGGACTGTGTAGCAGAAGGAGTGGAGGTGCGATGTTATACCAGTGTTACAGTGCAAACCATTTGAAAAAAATGTTTCTTAAAAACTTCATGCGCCCAAAATGCCTCATTGTTTAATACGCTTCCCAAATGCACTCAATTGATTAGAATGTTAAGATAATCCTGATGGCGATATGTGCCAACATGGAGATGGAGGTGATCTCAGAACCTTACTGATATATAGATATTGCATAATGCAGGTAATGCAGGGTGTTCATAGGTACATAACTCATATTTTAGGCAACCTGTCTGAACGTCAATTGAGCTGACGTTATTCACCGCTTGGACTTTCTTTGGCGTCAGTAAACCATATAGGTGAAAATACATATATAATGTGCCATCTGGCAATGTAACATTTTGTTAATTTGCTAATTGTTACAAACTGTAACAATACAATTATGGTAGACTGTAGTACAGATTACTCTTTTATAACTGGAATACAGCTTAAAGTAAGAATAGCATGTGCAAAATTGACAATCAAATGTTGCCGTTTCCTAGTTGTGGTTGGATGCAACTATCTAGACGTTCTATTGGAGATACATAAACATGTATTAGCACTGAACAAGTGCAGCAATAGTCATGAACTCCAAACATTAAAGCTTTTCATAATTCTGGATGCAAACTATCGAGACGTAATATTGAGATTTACATTAAAATATCTAGCACTGAACCATTGCAGCTACAGTCTAGAATTCTGTCGCGTCATGACTTCATAAATTGAAGGAGTTTCATCAAAGCTTCCCTTATAATTCTAGTCAGAACCTTTCACTGCATTCTGACTGGTGTGGATTTGTCTACTATATTGTGCATGGAAAGAGAGGTGCGGTGTTGTGGTTGATAACATGGAACGACATGTGTGCGTCCTGCAGCTATTTGCACAGATACAAGACGTAGCCGCCATAGTGGTAACTGCAAGTATGTCGTCACTCCAAGAGAAAATGTAAGAAACTATTTGAATGTGTATATGGATATCTGTGTCGAATCATTGTGGAGAGCACAAAGACGCCTATGCACTTGAATATGATGCGAAGGAGAAGCAACCAATGTGACCAGACAGTTTTTAAATGTGGGAGATGACTGTTTTTATGAACCTATACCATCTTTTTATCATAAACATTAAAGAGTGGAAATGTTAAAATCTAATAAAAAACCCTAGTTGTGCCATTTACTTATCTCATTGTCACCCAAAACCTTTTCCTCAAATCAAATTAAAGGCGTCATAATTGAAAACTTTCTCTTTCTTGGATCAACGGTTTCACACGTAAATACATTTCCATGAAAACTGAACTTGTTTTAGTACCACCAGCACGGCATCCTTGGGCATATCAAGAGCAATTGGGACAAATCAACACTTTTACATGAATCATGACTGGATATATTTTCCCAAACCATAGAACTCATGCATAGAATGGAATGACATTTCTAAAAGCATTGGGTTTGTGTAGCTTTCAAGCGTTATTGCACAGTGTGACTTGTAACTTCTGTTAATTTTTTTTGCACTTTTGGAATGCCACAATATTGCATTGTGAGAATCGACTCTTCACGTGGTCGTACCAAGTATGACTGAATCGACTCTTCATGCGGTCGTACCAAGTATGACTGAATCGACTCTTCACGTGGTTGTACCAAATCTGACTGTTTCTGTTGAACTACAGTTATCATATCGCTGTACTGAATTTCCATTAAGTTGGTGGAGAATACTGACCAGTCAGGTCCAGTAAGCTTTTGACATCAGATCTAAGCAGATGTATGCATGCTCGCTGTCGGGCAGGTAGGTTAGGCAGGCAGGTTGGTATGTATGATACCATATGTTTTAGAATGTGTCTCTCTCATTTTACTTCTTTCTCTCCTCGCTCACAGTCATTGATTTCCAAAGTGAACAGTAGAAATATATATTGTCGTCCACACAGAAGTGCAATCAATGCCGTGTCTGTTTCAAGATAAACATGAGGATATAAAATGTGTCATGGCAACGACGTTATGTTATAAATTGATGCTATTCTTGGACAAAATGTTTCTCTTAATGATTGATCTACTGAAAAGACCTTTCTTTATCTGCTCCTGTATTGTCATCAGGTATTAAAGCATCACGTACAACGTGACATACACATGGTTAGAGCTAAACATCGACATATACATTCGGTTACCAAACTTAAAATCAGCAACAATTCGATTACAATATATACTGGTAGGTGATCATAATGGGTGGTAACAATGATAACAGTTTGTACAAACATATTGTAGGTCGGGATGCTGTGCTCTGACATGGAGACCATTTGCTTCCACACAGGTTGTGTTGTGCGTATCAACTGACAACTGATGTACATTTGATGCACTTGGGGATTTTGTCTTGCATGTCAATACACTGTGTCTTTATACGATAGGAAAATACTTATATATAATTCTCTAATTTATTTAGATATGACACTTATGCTGGATTTTCAGTTACCCTATTTGGGATCTTTTGAACCAATTAGTATTCAAGAAAGGTACTTTAATCATAAACATGAGATATGTTTCAATAATGTTAATATATTAGCTGTCCTAGTTTATTCGAGAACATACGTGGTGGGCACCTAAGCATGTTAAACTGATATTTCCCGAGATTGACTTTACTTTGTTGACTGAAGGTCTGAATTTACGTTGATGTGCAATAATAATATGATGTGGACTTATTTTGGTTCATAAGAATAGAAGGTAGAAGAGAGACCTTACAAGGTAGAATGTGGGGGAGGTTCCATTCCAGATGTTGAATGATAAGAAGTTATCTATCTGTAGTGTAATTGTTTTCATTCTTCTTGCCATGCTGACATGGAAATCATATCAAGGCTGTCATCAGACATTTTAACCGGGCGAGACATTGGGTCAATACAGAATAATTTCAGGTGTATATAAAACCAAACAGAAGACGAAATAGTACCCAGTGCTAATTTCTAACACAAACTGTTAGTAATGACTTGTCACAGTCATATCCCCGTGCTTCAAGCAAACAAATATTAACCTAGTCGCCGATAAGGGTTCAACCTGTTCTGATGTCACCATTGAAAGTTAAATGTAGGCCCTGTGTAATGTCACAATGTGTCCAAGGATATTACTTACAAATACATGATGTCTGTAGTTTTACACAGCAGTGGATATAGTCGCCTCCTGGTGAATGGCGAGGAAATAATATTGGACACCATTGGCTAACTTGCCCGGACTAGCGTTTGTATAACTATCACAGAGGACGGAATCAGGAACAAATGTGAGAATTAGTTCGTCCTGACCTCTGACCTGCCTTTTGCGTCTGTCTGGCCTGCAATTAGCATCAGGCCTGTCATGGTGTCAACACAGAGTATCAGGACACATGTTTTGGTATATTTCTGTCGACTACCAACATGCCCTTCGCTTTTGGTTGTATCTACTGCACTGTGTTATTGTCGTATAAATGGAGTCAGACTCAGGCAGAAATATGGTGATTGGATTCATGAACAGTTTGTCTAATTTCTGTTTGTACAATGCACGTCAACACAATTTCAGGGATCTGTTATATGTAGTAATATTAGAAAATATTATAGGTTTGGAACGAGAGATAACCTTGGCAAAGACAATGAGGAAAATAAATTAAGACACATCGCAATACGTCCTGAAATCAAATCCATTATTTGAATATATTATTGATATATAATACACACCGAATGATCACCCTATCCGGATTTTAGGCGAATTCTAACCTGCATGTCACGGTCATCATTTGTTGTCCGAAACAATGTCGCGATGGGGTTGTTAATGTAAAGCATCGGTTTTATTTTTGTGAAATTTAGAGGTAACGAATATATAGAGGACAAACATATAGTCGATTCTGGAAATTTGATGACAACAGTCGACGAATATACGACAATGTCCCATGGTGACAACAACAGATGCTAAACAGGCGAGAGTCCATGAACACCAAATCATGTATCTGGGCAGTTGATACAGACAGTTCAAGATCGTGCCCGGGGACCCAAGGTGACCTGTGTTACAAGGTGGATGAAGTGATATCATCTCGTATTCTATGTTCGTGTAACGATTTTACATGCATGTAACGTTGTGTTTAATGCATTGACGACAGAGAGTATGCCCTACTGTTCTTGAACTGCTGTTGCCAGTACAACTGTCGTTGCAAGAAGGATCGCCAGGTTTGCAATTAAGCCAATCCGCCAGCTACTTTCCAACGTGACTTCTGGGGACAAAACCTCTTTGTCTATTCTGTGCGTTTCTCTGATCTAAGGTGGCATCCACTTCATCACTGCTTCATGAGCAGATGGTTGTGGGTAGAGTAGGTGTTCTTTCTCTAATACAGATGCCAATTGTACATGAAACTGATTGTGGCCCATCTGTTTCAGTGTCTGTTAAAAAGGAATTGTCGTATACATGTGTAACCCTGATAGTGACAAGTTTGACCGAAAGGAGTATCGTTCAAACTTGGCGGGGTAATACGTCGCAGGAAATAGACATTTCATTCGTGAATTAAATGCTTGTATTAAAGGATGACACTTTGATTCTGCTGGCATATCCTCTTGGACATGTGAAGGTCCCAGCCACAAGATATCAGACTAGTGATTCATGCACCATATTTTTGTAGTTACATTTGAAATGAAATGCCTTTTGCATTTGAAACTTCTTCTCTTTATTCAAACTCCCGAGCAAGAACGAGATGCATTCTCGTACCATTTTGTTTGGTCACGTTTTATGTTTTATAATAAGAATGTTATAAAATGAGCTGGCATCTTCGCAATTACAATTTTGTATCTTCACTCCCTCTTCCAGTCAGTTACAATCAATACTACAGCATTGAAAACAAAGGAAATTATTGGCCCAACATGCACACTGATAGGCAGTGTATCACAGACACACCTGACCCAGACACATTCACACAGAATCACTAATCACTAATTTCACAGACAGTCATTAAAGGCCGGGGTGCAAACCTCCAAATTCCCCACGGGTTCCCAAATAGTCACCCATTGGCTACTCCTCAGCAGTGTAGATGTTATCTGCCCATGAATGACAGGACTGTAACGGCTTTGGGTGCCTGGCAAGTGCCAGTGGGAGTCTGGGGATGTCAAAGGTTAAGCTTGGAATTTACTACTAGAACAAACATGTGCCTGATAGTAAATGTCCAACAACCCTTCCCTTCATTTCATGAAGACAAAAATGACAGACTCATTTGAGAAGCTTTAGGATAATTTACTTATTTATAAATTCAACGTTTTCTCAAAAGCTATTTCTATTACAAACAAATAATATTTACAACAAAATTCAATCATATTACTTCATTTATACTCTATGTGAACAATTTATGTCCTCATACTAATTTAATATTTACAATTTGTTTTGCTGTAATATAATTCTCTAAATTAAATACATAATATTTATAACATATTTTAATTATGGTATATTATATAATTACCTTCCTAAGAGAATAATACATTCCACTTGAAAACAGCATCTCGAATAGGAAACAGCACAGAATATAGCAACGATAACATAGACATAACGTTAATATAATATCAGTTCCAGGTATGTCCCATATATGGCTTATTTGCAGGATTGGGGAGCCATGTCCGAACTAACGTTATGACACAATCTGGCATTAAGTCACGCTGGTGTCTGGTTCCAGTCCACACCAGGTGATGTCGGTTGAAATGTCTCTGTAATGCTTGTCTCTTTCTTTCTTGATACCGAGCATCTCTCCATACACCTCGGTGAAGAAGCATGGTCCAAAATCGCTTATAGTGTCCCTTTCTAAGTTGCGAATTTCTCGTGTTCTCCTGAAGGATATCTTCCTCCCACCACATTTGCCTGTTCACTGGGTCTGTTATGCATGGTTTGCACAAACAGTGAGGACACTCATCTGTATCAGGTCTCTGTTGAATGACAAACTCGGGGTCACCATCAGGTTCATTCATACCTGGAAGTGTTGTCACTGTTGCCTCGGAATGGGGAACTTCTATTATATCCCAGTTATGATGATGAAACAGATTATATATAGTTTCTCTCTGGAGAGGAGTAACCATCAATGTGAGAGAGAGTCTGTCTTGTTCAACTTCCATGATCGCTGTTTCTCGAGGTTATACCATTTTTCACAGCTTTCTCAAGACTTTATCTATGAAGTAACACCGTAGAGATAATTAATAGTGACAGTAAAGATAAACAAGTTAGCAAATTAGAGGGCCAGCAGGAAATAATGAATTATCTGATGGCAAGATATAGCTTTAGGTCAAAATAATCTCCCGAGATATCTGTTCCATACATTTCGCCTGTAATTGTAGGAGACAGGTTTGTAGTTCCTCTTCCTGCGACATCTCTGTGCACCAGGATTCCTTGAATGCCACTCAGAAGTATAGCTTCTATTCACGTTTTCATTCCAGTGGCAAACAGCTAATTGAGATTTCATATTGTAAATCCTGCCAGAAAATGAGATTCGTTTGTCTTGAAAAATATTCATAACATTATTGAAACTTTCAACATAGAAAGTATCTTTAGCCAAACTGAAGTCGTCTGCATACTTGAAAATGGTGGAATTTGTGAAAACACCTTTCAACAATGACACAGCTTTCTCACTTGTGAGCACTATACGTGATGGTTCATAGTTTGGATCTTCCTTGCACCTGCAATCAGAATGATTGTTCTTATAATGTTCAATAACATTTATGAGTGAGGATCTCAGATTCTCGCTGTCACCGTTACAACTCCGAATGGCGTGATGGAAGTGTGTAGCAACAGGTTGCACTTTGTCTGACAGCTGTTCATGCCAGGTACTGCCATGCTTGTACTTTGGTCCCGTAGATACAACAGAAAGAGATTTGGCTACTGATTTTACGCCATGCCATATGTCATTTTGGTTGATTGTTCCACTGTCTCGAATGAGTTTATTTACAGACAGGTTTCTGTCATGGGTATGTACATTAACATGGACATTTCTCTCTTCGAGGTACTTGTATATCTCCACTGTTCCAACCCTTTCGTGCCGTTGTGAAACAGGATCATTCTGTTTGGTTATATGTTGGCATGTTAACACCTTATGTGTGTAGTCACCAATGGCCACCACACTACTATCCTTGGCATTTTTCCTCCAACCATGACGAGCGTCTGTCATGATGTTGATGCCGTCCAAATCTTCATAACCAGCAACTTCTTCTAACAATGAAGTTTCACACGAGTCAGTATATTCTGCCTGAACACAAGCCTTATAGGTGGTAAGTTGTTGTTCTCTATATTTCCGTGACAGATTACCTATCCCTGCAGCTGAACAGAACCTTTGGTACTGGACTGGTAACATACCACAGCTGTAAAAAGCATGTCCAACCTTCTCATTCACAAGAAATTTGTTGTCTGGTAGGTAGGGTGATGACGCCAGACGATACTGGTGTGACTTGCGGCAGCGAACCTTCATCTTCATTACATGGCCACCATAACTGACTTGTGTAACAGTCAATTTATTGGAACATTTTCGTCCATGCTTCTCTGCTACATCCAGACACATTTTCATGGATGATTCAGATATGATGAAAAATTTGTCATCAGAGTCACCTGGTCTGGCTGTCAGGTATGTAACTGGTGGATCTTCTGGGGCAGTCACACCATGGTGCTGGAGATAGTATGACAGCACCCGGTCCAGAACCTCAGCATTATTAGCAGGCTTGTTTGTTTCTGCTTTTAGGTGTACTTTCACTTGTTTCTGTTTTTGGAGAATACCTTGCTTGACTTCTTGGTCACCAGGTATTTCGATTGTGAAACGAGCACTTCGCTTACTTGGATCCATCTTGTCAGGAAATCAGTATGGTCAGCCAGATAATGAGAGATGTCAAGTGTATTCCGATAGTAGGAGTCAATGAAGTATGATCTGACCCACAAGTTAAATTACTAAAACTAAGCAAAGTTCATTTCAGGCTTTAGGGGTTTGGGTTTTGAAAAGTACAGAATGTTATGTTATTACTGCATTTTAGAGAATCATATGTTATTATAAAGAATTTAGTACATCAAAGGTTTACTATAGAAGATAATTAAATTTGCCTACTTGATGTGTTGATAATAATAACAAGGATACCAAGCCAATGTCACCCCTCTGGGGGGAATCAAGTGTTCCACTCAGTGTCAGAGTCAAATCAGTGTACAATCCGCACAGCTGGGGGTCAGGGGAGTGGAGGAGGGCATCAGTTTCACTGACTGCCTGGGAAGAAAGTGAAATATGAAACCCTGAATGAAGCTTTAACTTCCACTCAGAGGTCTGTTTCTATGGAAACGCACCTCCTCTGGCCTACTGACTGACACAGTGGCAAATTCAAATCTGGATTTCAAAAAGAGATTGTATATTTTTAAAATGCAGGTTTTGTACACTGTCTGCATCAACACTTTTTACAGTGTGTGTTCATAACATACTTGTTCACACTATGGCTTAATTTCATCAAGAACCGGTAAGTCAATTTTGTGATATTTCATGGAATGTACTTGAATACTGCTTTGTTCTGCATTGAAAGACAGCTTTGGCAAGGCAGGAGGCCACACCCCATCTGTGTATAGGTTTGAACCCCGGCCTTTAACACACAAGTATATTCAACGCAATAAAAACACACCGAATGAAAGAAAAATCCACATTGTTTTAGGAATCACAACATGTTCCAATTCGAGAGTCGTTTCCCCCAAAAGTCCCACAACTATCAACCCGACTCTACAATCTATCCCCTCACTACAGCCGATCCTATCCTTGTAGTCTTCCCGCTCAATACATTCACTTAGTTCATCACAGTCAGTCCCTGTGATGAATAGAACTATTACATCTGTGAATCTTCATACATTGTTTGGAGTGATTCGATCACTTCTGAACATGTGCGATACGCGTGAAGGTCCCGGTTAGAATATTGATCTTCATTAACCCATGCTTGTCGTAGGAGGCGATCGACTAACGGGATCGGGTGGTCAGGTTCGCTGACTTGGTTGACACATGTCATCGGTTCCCAATTGCGCAGATCGATGCTCATGCTGTTGATCACTGGATTGTCTGTTATTTACAGACCACAGCCAGATAGTAAAACTAAACTCACCCACTTACTCTGAACATGTGTGACGATACTACTCCAATGGAGGCGACTGAAAGGGTAAAAGAGCATTAACACTGCGAGGCGAATATCAGCACAGACACATTGGACTGTGTAGTTAATTGACACGATACATCTCACTCCATTCGGGGGAGAGAGAGGTAGGGGAAGGTAAGAATGCTGACATAGAAACGAAGTAATTCTTCGATTAATTCCGCGATCCTGTGTAGTTCTGACCAAGAATGATATCTAGAGCACCTGCATTGGTGTTAATATTTACAACCACCAGCAAGTTCTTGAAGATACATGGATTGCATCTCGTGATGGCAGACAGAATCCCACAGATGTAGGATAAACTAAATCTCCCTTGGTATCATGGCAACCATCATCCTAACTCTGACCAGGCATGACATTACAAGGTGACCATGAGGTATGGGAAGCCTGGTGTTGGGAGTATTCACATTCATGGATATCACTGGCATTCTTAACACGTTTAGGAACTTTGAACTGTATTTAATAGAGCAAGTCATGGTGCTGACAAACCGAACCGTTTCAGGACTCGAACCCATGATCAGTAGATCTTATGGACCTTACGTCTCTATTCTGCAAGCCCTGAAGCCTTAGCATCACTCCATAAAAAGAAATTAGATTACAAAAAAGTGGAGGAATGTATTTTACGAAATCCTCTCAACGAAAAAATATCTCACATGACGAACCATCGTTTTTGTTGTAGTTCGTGGTAAATTGATATACAATGTCCCTTATCCTCTCCGTACAAGAGCAGCACTGTCTTTGATGTAATCTGCTTTCAAATTTATTTCCATTTCTATGGTTTCAATTGTATCGACATAAATATTAGTTGGAAAAGTATTTTAACTGTGAATAGTTAATATTACATACATAACAGTGTACAGAGTTGATCAGCAGCTGCTGTGTAAGGATAGCCTGTAAATATAGCCTGTATTTAGGACATGAGGTTACTAGAGAATTTACGTTGTGGTAATTAAAAACATGCTTCACGGCTATATGACAATAGACATGCGTTGACGATAGTATAACACAGAATGCCACTACAGGCAACAGAAATATGCATGCTTAGTTTTACAGTGCAGTTGAGGCGTTGTCATTAATAAATTCATTTAAGTTGTCATTTTGCACCCACTGTTACCTTGCACTACCATTTAAAGGCAGTTTTGATGGAATAAGTGTTACTCTGTATAATTACTTATTTTCCTAATACCGCATTTTGAAGATATATTTGCTATCACGAGGAGTACTGTTAACAGTGCATGATGCCTGATGTGTGACATCGACATTTTCTACATGCATGAGAAGACG